GAGACGCTCTCCATTCATTTGGATCGATATACTCATGGCAGAAGGGAGCAAGAACACAAGGCCCAATCAAGCTTCAATACAGGCAGCACAACACACAGAAAAAACACAGAAAACAACATAAAAATACGCCGCCTTGAGTGGCAAGATCGTTTGAATAATATACCCATGGGTAGGGTACATACATCTATTTGATAGAGCAACTTCCTTGGGATTGGATGCCTCAAACTAGTCCAACAGTACTGTACTCACCTCCGTATGGTAAATGGCCATGACAGCCGCTAACGGCAATCTAGAAACTTGAGATAGTTTTAACATGATTAATGCATCAGATTTATTATTATGCGAAGCTGGACAATCCGGGGCTGGCTTCAGCCACTATCACCTTGTTGACCACGGTTGAGCGCAGGGTTGGTGTGGTTTCCGTTGGCAGCATTACCAGTATCGTTGTTGTCATTTCCATCCTGTGTTCGGGCAGACTCCTTGGATTCAAGCACGGCAATACGGCGTTTCAATTCTTTGAAAGTAGTTCGGCCATTTTTCTTTTCATTCTTCTTGGCTGCTGCAGAGTCCTTGGGAGTTGTTTTATCTTTCTTGTTTCCATTTTCCAGTTTGCGTTTCTTGGGTTTACGTTCCTCCATGATTGCGCTCCGTTCGTCCTTAGGCATTGCAAGCCATTTGTTTGGAGGTCTATGCGTGGTGTTGACCGAGGCAATGTGTCTTCCATCACGTGAGTGTTTTCCAAGGACGAGAGTATTGCCAATGAACCCTTTGATATGAGCAACTGATGCATCAAAGTTGGTTCCCATGGTTGGGGAAGCAATGATCATGCTAACAGCTGTGTCAAGCTCTCTAGTGACAATCTGATCAATTACCTTGCGGACTCTGGTTTGCTCGTCAGGTTCTTGGTAGTCATCAAGCTCAGCAAGGAGGAGGAAGCATTCCTTGTGGTTGCGGGCGTAATTGTCAAACTTCCAGTTGCGTTTTGGTCCTGCGTAGGATAGAGCTAACCATCTTCTCTCAATTTTGGCCGAGACATTGTTGGTGTATTGGGCCCCAAGCCGTGCGGATTTTAGGTCAAGAAATGCAGTTCTTCCGTCCTTGGTTCTGGCACAGTGCTTGATGTCAGTCCAGTCAACAGTGTCTTTGAATAGCGCACTCAGAAGTTAAATAAAGGATTTATTTTAAACGGTCCTGTGGGCCTTTTGGCGGATTGAGATTGCTGATATATAAATAAATTGCAGATCTTTCTCCCTCCAAACAAGCTGCGCATCGACGCGTCCGGCTAGATCGGATCCAGTTGCCTTCGGCTCTCCCTCCAACCTTTGAAAGCGTCCCCTCAAGGTTGGATATGGTCTGATCTTCTTACACTTCATAGAATGAAATGTATCCTATGCGCACCCATTGTATGATAGTCAATCATAACAGGGTGTAATTCAGCAATAGCTATCCTGACGTTCAAATGTCAATCAACAGGTTTTTTAGAGTCTCCCACAGACTTGGACATTTGCCATTGCAGGCAGTTCAGCTGGTGTTGCTATCTGTTGGAGGCCAGTTTCTGGCTGTATAGCTCTCCTACTGAGAGGGCTATAATACACAGACAGGCCTATGCCTCTAGTCTAAAAAGGATAAAAGGACTTTTATTTGAATGTTAATTCCAGTATCTATTTGTTGTTACCTGGATTGAATGAGCATTGCAGCTCATGCAATCCAGTGGCTACTTCGATTTACCTATTTACTAGTTTTTCATGCATGGGACCAAGCGACTCTGGTCTGGCAATCTCCTGCAAAACCGCGAACGCGGTCTGCCCATGTCACCGTTGGTCTGGTCATTTTGGTCATATTCTCGCCATCCGTACGTTGTCCGACAGTTCCAAAAATACTACTTCGAACTCGCTCCTGAGATGTCGGGCAAGTCAAGGAGGGATCTTCCACGGGTGGTACTGGCATGATGCCCATTACCATGTCGCGGAAGGGTGTGTACAAGCTGCCTTGTTGTGGCTTGGAGAAGAAATCTGAAAGCATGTCCTCCATGGAACAATGTTAGAATAGAGCAAAATGTGCCTTTAGCGCTCAGAACAAACTCTCTGCAATCTAAATTCGTAATCGACTGTACAACACTTTCACGACAATAGTTCTTCTGTGTCTAGGTATACTTTGAGTGAAATTGTTCCTATTTGATTAATGTTTGGCTTGAATTGATGATTCAATCACAAAAGTGAGTTCGACGATTTTCCCTTGGAAAATCCCTTGTTTACAGAACTCGATTCGACTTCTACGACAATTCTGTGTTGAATGCAGTACTTTGGGACATCTTGCATTATTCCCTACTGCATCGTACACAACATCAATATTCCACTTGTACAGGATCTTTTCCTGTTTGTGTGGATACAGATTGTCCGACAGACTTGCGTCTGGCATACTTGCGTCGAATCCCGACATCACGATCAAAGTCCGATCGCACGTGTCGAAAACCTCATACTTGAATAGTTTCTTTTGGAACGTAAAAACTCATATTTCGTCATATCCCAACATGTAGTGTTTTGGACTGCCGCGTTTTGGACTTTGGCATCTCACACAAAGGGGCAGGCAGAGGGAGAAGAAGTGATCACTGCATCATGTTTCCAATCAATTGAATGGTATGTTGGAAAAAACAGATTGGCTTCAAAACTGAAGTTGTAAATGAGATCTGTGGCTGTTTTTCCAACAGTTGGTACCTGTTACCATGGTGGTGTCATCCCGCCGTTTTTTGAATTTCCCTCCCATTTTTCCTCCCATTTTTCCCTCCACCCGCCTTATTCCGCGGACTATTTTGCAAATATTGCCACATGCGTGCCGTATACCTATTCCGGTAGTATAATTCCAATGTTATTCGGAATAAACTAGATTTTATACAAATAAAAATAGTTTAAAAGAAAGGCATAAAGAAAAGGTTGGATTGCAACTCCCCAATTGTTCGACATTTTGTTTTAGGTAGTGTTGATCTATTATTCTACTTCTTGATCTTCTCATGGTAATCTTCAATATCCCATTGCCCCACAAGTTGTGCTTTTGCAAGTTGTCCAACATTGGTACAGTATTTCCTTTCATATCTCTTGCCCGTCCCTCAAACCAATTTTACGAAAACTACATTTGTACAATATAAATCGTATTTATTCAAATAAAAAACATCTGTTGTATCCCCTTGCTAGGGAAGTTTTCTCCAAGGTATACGAAACAGCAAAAGAGAGATTAAAATACCGTTCTCAAAATACTCTCACATGATACGTTTTGGTTAAGTAATACGTGAAAACCGTTTGCAAAATACCCCTACTTTTCCGAGACACGCTTACCTGAGAACATCTTTACATTGACATGTTTTGACATGTTTGCTGTAACAAAGTCATAAGAAAAATCACCTCTTCACCTCCATCATTTCACCAAAATGACTTGATATAATGAAGAATGCAAGCAGTGCTTGACAATAATGATGTCCCCTTGCTGCAAATGATGCCAAGAATAACTCAGGCCGTTTACAGCATAAAACGTATGTTATGTTGGAATATTGGGCTCTCAGTAGACGTACTGACGCACAGACGCCTTCACTACTCCGCTAGCTGGGACTCCAGTCACGACTGAAAATTGATGCTCTAGCTCTCTTCGAATCTCTTAGAGATTCGATGCAGCAACTCTTTCCAAGTAGTTTCAAGTAGTGATAGTCTCACAATTTATCAATTTATTAATTCGATTACTTATCAACCAACTTCGTATAAAACTACCTTTATTGATTCAAAGCCCAATCCAGAGGCCTTGCTCCTGTGGAGCCGTCTCAGGATTTTAACACGCTCCCTCTGCGAGTCTAAAGGGCCCATTGCATGGTACAAAGTACTTGAAACGGCCCACTGAATCAAGATCCATACATCCCTTGTCGCCGTCGAAGAAACAACCAAGTTCAGAACATGGCTGACAATCCTCCTCAGGGAGGCAACGACCCAGACCCAGAAGTTGTGGAGGAAAACCAACAACAACCTGCGCTAGCAGGAAATGCTGATGAAGCCGCGC